ATGAACGCTCAAATGCAAACCAATATTTTAGTTGTATAGACCAGAAATCTGATACGGCCATCCACGCCAAAAGCATTTCATCCCATTCCACTTCAAGCAAAAGTCAACACCTTTCGAAAGGGAACACCTATTTTAAATTTAAAGACGAGAAATCTGAAACTGCTCTCAATACCGAACGCAGATTAGAGAACTCCTTTAAGAACAAGCGGCATAACCGCTCACAAGCAAACTCATATTTTCCATTTGTAGAGGAGGCAGCTGGAATGCTACTCGACTCCCAACTTCGGTCAGCGCACTACTGCTACAGCGTACAGCGTGACCGCCCAATTGCATACCCACATTTCCGATTTATAGACCAGAAACCTGAAATGCCACTCGACTCCGAAAGTAGATTAGAGAACTCCTAAAGGAGCATGCCCCAAACTGTAGTGTTAAATAATAACCAACCCGAAAAATGACATTTGAAACCTAAGCAGCATGAAGGTTTTGACATTTGTATGCAAAATACGTTATAAAGACACCTTACTGAAATCAAGACATAGCCTGGCCAAACATTTGCGCCCATTATATTGCTTTTAGCTCGACTTTTATGTTCCAGGGGCTTTAACTTGTTCAATTATCACAAACCAATAAAGAATGGAACTTTAACAATTGACATCGAGCTCATTTGCAAAAAAATCAGAGCATAAAATATATGTGACGGTGGTAGCGAAGGCTAAGTACTCACTGAAACTCCTACTAGACGGCAGTTACGGAGACACTAGCTACACCCCACGGTAGAGAAAGTGGACGATGAGAGCGATTGATTTTTGGTTCCCGGAGTCCCACCTAGGACCCAACCTTTTGGGTATTCGCCCTCTCACGCACTCGGTGCCAGGAGGCCGTAGTTCACTACATCTAGACCTCTGAACGGAGCGCCAAATTAGTCGTACTTTGTCAAGTTGGGCGAGGAACAAAAAGACTGGGCTTCAAGTTTTGCTTTCTCAGTTTGGTGGCTTCGTGAAACAGCTATTAAAGAATCCCAACCATTACCTCGTATTCGGGCGGAACAGTTTGAATGCTCTCAAGAGAGAAATTATAATTTAAACATAAATGAAACGCTGGCAACGAATAAGTAGAAAATGCAGCTCCCTCCCTCTCGTCACAACTTAAAAACGGCCGGGAGCACTAGCATCAGCAGAGGCCATCCAACAGCGAAAAAAATTAACACGATATACATGAACCTATTGCACTCTCTAGGCCACGAAACACAATGAACTGTGACAGAACCCACCCAATGCTGCCCACCTTATGTTGTGTCTCGACCCACAATATCTGACACCCCTCCTGACAAGATAAGTAAGACACGCCCCAAGTGCCGACGACCGTTCCTGATGTAAGATGGCATCGGCATAGGGTGGCGTGAGTT